ATGGCCATGTTTATTATCGTTTTTTCGCCACGTAGTGCCGTGTACGGCATTCCATCAGTGATGAATCATCACCATGCGGGGGCAGAGCGAGGGGCGAAGTTAGGGAGGGAGGTGAGCCGGGAGGGCGGTCGGCTGAAAGATGTCTAAGTCAACGTCAACACCCAACCCCCGGGGGGGCGGCTTCGGCCGTGGATGATGAACTCCCCCCTCCAACTCCCCCCCCTTCGCCAGCCTAGGGGCAACAGCCGGGGTTGCCACTATCGCATGCTTGATGATGCCAGGCATTGCATTGCATGGCACGATTCTTTTCAGTCCGTCTTTTCCGCCATCCGTCTACCACCGGCCTTCCCGCGTGTTGCGGCAAACACGGTGTGCCCCCTCCCCTCCCCTGGCTGGCAGGACCTGGGACCTGGTGACGGGGATGAGTTGAGATCATGAGGTGCCGCTGTACCTGAAGAACTTGTGTAGCGACGGCGGCAGCCTGGTGACGCCCCGCATTGAGACATCACACAGTCCGGAAGACTGACACAACACAATGATACCCGCAGCCGCCACCTCGCATGTGCCGTCCTGCTCCGTCGGCGGTGAACCGTCGAGAGGGTCGTCCGCCGCCGCGGCGGCCGTGGCGGTGGTGGCGCCGCCGCCGTCGAGGATGCGCCTCAGTCGTATTCGCTCCGCTGCAGCGCGGGACATTGTACCACAGCCCGGCTCGTTGGCGTCAGCTTCGAAACCATTTTCGTACTCCTCATCCTGCTCGGCAGCCTCGTCGGCAGGTTCCTGCCGACCTTGAAAGGTCAGCGAGCCGATGCTCCTGCTGCGTACGGCGGTTGGCGGGGAGCTGTGTGTGTACGGCGCGCTACTGCGGGACGCCGCCGGTCTCACCACCGCAGCAGCCGCGGTTGCGGCAGCGGCGGCGGCGGCGGCGGCAGCGGCACGTGAGGAGCTGCCGTTAGCGTTGCTGCCGTACTGTGCGGTGCCGCTGCTGCCGTACTGGACTCCTTGGGGCCGCCGGTACCCCGGAGCGGAGGCGGCACCGTTCCCTTTGGCGCCCTTGCTCGAGTTCTGGTAGGTGGTGGTGCCGTACGGGGTCCTGCTGGAAGCGGCGTTTTCAGGTCGGTTCAAGCTTAGCAAGGTGCGAGGAGGCTTGGACGCACCACATTCACGATCTTGCAAGGGATTAGCAATGTGACGCATGGCCTTGCGGTCGGGAATCAGGTGTTGAAGCTTTTGCGCAGCGCACAAGAAGTGTTCGGAGATGGTTAGTGGTGGACAGGAGGGGAGGCGGTGCGGTTGAAGGAAGAAGGGATTTGGGGCGGCAGGGGTGCGTGTTAGCGTTGTATAAGGCAAGGCCACGCTGCGGTGCGGTTGGTGGACCGCATTTGCTTCGAGCCGAAATTAAGGCCATAGAACACATTCAAGGGGGGGAAGGCTATCGCCTGGACACGACCCATTCAAAAAACTCTGGACTCTAATGTATTGATGAAGTTGTATGACACCTAGCGAATCAATGAGCATCGTTGCTATATGGTTTTGAGGGCCTGCGGCTTGACATGTGATGGTGGAAATGGCCGTTGATACATTGAAGGGCAGGACCTAGGCTATTTTTTTTGTTACACTCACTTCCTTGAAGAATCTCTGCTTGACATATGCTAAAAACTCTAACGTTCCTGAAGTCGCTTCGCAGGACTTGGGATCTTTCGTCCACAGCTAGGTCAAACTAAATAAATTTAGCAAAAGTTAATGCCAGTGAAGAGTTAATGGTTCGAGTCTAGTCATGGAGGAAGTCAACAAGGTACGATGTGACTAACTGCCTAACGGCAGAGAAGGGCGTTGCAATTGTCAGGTTGCCGGCTTGCCATCTGGTGCTGCTGTTAAATATATATGCACAATCGTACTGAATATGTTAACTTCTATAAACCTGGCCATTAGGTATCCCTCCATTAGCTCTTCGGCTTGCGAAAACTGAAGGAACCCGATTTGGGTTGCGGCCGTCCGCGCATCGCTTCTGTTTATCCATAGCACCTGTCAAAAGCCTGATGGTTTAAAAAGTTCGAATTGCATATGCTTCGATTCACTCCTGGTCGGCGGCGTCCGCAAGGTCGTGTCCGCGCAGCTACGTCTAGACAGCCACAGCAGAATGCACATGGCCTCGCATAATGTACTTATCTCCCATATTCGACATGTGGCAACACGCACCGTCGCACTATCTCGGCGAGCTCTCCTTCCCGTGCCCACGGCTTCATGGCCTCGCAAGGGTTGCCGAACACAGAAGCGCCAGCATCCGCCCGCCACCCAACCAGCGCCGTCCTTCCTAAATACCGACGCTTGCGACAGATCATCCGCTATCGTTGCGGATGCTGCTGCTACTGCCATTGCTGCAATTACTACTGCTACTGCTACGCCGATACCGGAAACCGACGTTACTGTAGCACCATTGGCATCCCCCTCCGCGACCCCGCATGAACCCAGAGCACCAGCACCAGCAGCGGACATGGACGATAAGGACACTCCCTCCGCCTCTGCCTCCGCCTCCTTCCCAACCTCCTCCCCCTCGGAGTTGGAGCCTCCGGAATGGCTGCAGCGCACGACTCTGCTGCTGGGGCGCAGCGGTGTCGCTGCGTTGCACGACACCCGCGTGCTGCTGGTGGGGCTGGGTGGTGTGGGGTCGTACGTGGCGGAGTTCCTGGTTCGCGCGGGGGTGGGGTCGCTGGCGATTGTGGATGGCGACGTGGTGGATGTGACCAACAAGAACCGGCAGGTAGGGCTATGTGTGTGTGGGGGGGGGAGAGAGGAGGGGGTGTGGGAGGTGGCCGTCTATGGCAACGGATGGTTGAGGTTGTCCTCCCATGCGCTGCTGCTGCTGCTGCTGCTGCTCGGGAAGACATCATGTTTGTGTATATGTATGTGTGTGTGAGGGGGGTAGGGGGAGAGGGGAGGGGAGGGGCGGGTAGGGGGTAGAAAGTGGGAGAGGGACAGGCGGTGTATGCGACAAGAACTCAGAGTCCAGGCACGTGTGCGATGTTCGACGCAGGGAGGTTTTTAATGGAGGGGGTTCCTCCTCCGCTGTCGCAATCCCTGCAGAGTTACCCCCTCCCCGCTTTCTTACTTTCTTCTGGTGTATCAGTCTATCCTTGACTTGAGGGGTATCTATCGCATGTCGGGCCCTCCCGGAGTGCGCAAGGCGGGTGATTCGATATCTCCCCCCTTCCCCTCCCCCCTTCCCCTCCCCCCTTCCCCTCCCCCCTTCCCCTCCCCCCTTCCCCTCCCCCCTTCCCCTCCCCCCTTCCCTTGGCATTACTGCTTTTTCCGCGCTTTTTAAGTCCTGGCGGCTAGGTAGGTAGTTTTTCCGACATCATCTTCACTACACCATCCAGAGGTCGCCGCCTTCAAGGACACCTCTTGGTACACTCTTGCCCTGGCAGCAGCTTCACTCGTTCATGGTTTGTCTCCCCTCTCCCCCCTTCCCCCGCCCCCCTCCCCCCCCTTCCCCGCGTGCAGCTGCCAGCCCTGGACTCCACCATCGGTCTGCCCAAGTCCCAGGTCATGTCACAACGACTGCTGGATATCAATCCCCACCTCAATCTGGTAGTACGACAGGTACGGCAAACGCTTATGCACACACTGTTGCGATGATCCCCGTCAGCCCCACTTCAACGGAGTCCGTGCGCTGGCGGCGGCGGCTGCGGCGGCTCCCTCGCAGCCGCACCGCCGAGCCCCGGTTGCGTCCAACTCCCGGTCTGCGTCCCCCCCCCCCTTTCGGGACATGGAGATACCCCCCCAGGGCGGTGCGCAGTCAACAGGGGCCGTCAGCGGGGAGAGGGGCACGAAAGAGTTGGGAAAGCAAACAGGGAAAGACCCTGAGGGTGGGGGTGGGGGTGAGGGTGAGGGTGGGGGTGGGGGTGAGGGGCCTCCCTTTTCCTGAGCCTCTCCCTCGTTCCTCTGCCGCCCTTCCTTCCTCCCCTCCTCCATTGGCAACCCCCCTCTTCCAACCCCCCGCTTCCAACCCCCCCGCTTCCCCCCCGGCTCCCCCGCCCCGGTTAGGAGTTTCTAACTCCGGACACCGCGGGTGATGTGTTTCTGGATGAAGTGGCGGAGGAGCTGGACCGGGGAGCTCGTACAGCAGCTGTAGCGGCAACAGCAGCAGCCTCAGCAGCACACACGCCCCGGGCAGCAGCTCGTGAAGCTGCAACCGAGCCACCAGGGGGGCAACCGCGTGTAGCAGCACTAGCAGCAGCAGCAGCAGCAGCACTAGCAGCAGCAGCAGCTACAGCGGCGTCAGCTATTGGTG